TCTCTCTCTCTCTCTCTCTCTCTCTCTCTCTCTCTCTCTCTCTCTCTCTCTCTCTCTCTCTCTCTCTCTCGTTTTCTCTCCCCCCTCTCTCTCCCTCTGTGTGTGTGTCTGTCTCTGTCTCTCTATAGCTTGCTCTCCCTTCTCTCTCCCTCTGTGTGTGTCTGTCTCTGTCTCTCTATCGCTTGCTCTCCCTTCACTCTCTCCCTCTGTGTGTGTGTCGCTGTCTCTCTTTCACTCGATCGCCCTTCTCTCTCTCTTTCACTCGTCTATCCCTATCTGTGTGTCTCTCTACATGTCCCTCTTCCTCCCCCTCCCTCTCTCTCCTCATGTCCTCGACCTCTCTCGTATTCGCTCGCGCTCTCATCGTATCTGAGATTTAATACGGCGTCCTCTCGCTCTCTAGTTGCCCTGCTCTAGATCTCTCCTACACATCATACACCACAGCCTGGACTTCCCGTAAGATGAATCCATCTATCTCGCTCCTTCGCCCCCCCCCTCCCTCTCTCTCCTTATGTCCTCGACGTCTCTCGGATTCTCTCGGGTTCTCATTCTATCTGAGAATGAATACGGCGTACTCGCATCATCCCCGCTGACAAGCCACCCCGCTCTCTCCTACTACATCCTACATACACCACAGCATTGACTTTCCATCAAATAAGTCCGTCGCGCAACTATCCCGCTCTCTCCCTCCTCTTCTTTCCCCTCCTCTCTTTCTCTGTCTCTCTCTTTCTCTGTCTCTCTCTCTCTCTTTCTTATTTTCTCTCTCCTTCCCCCGTCTCTCTTTCTCTTTTTCTCTCTTTCGCTTTCTCTCTCTCTCTCTCTCTCTCGCCCCTCCCTCACCTCCCTCTCGCCGTCGCCACCGCCGTCGCCGCCACCGTCGCCGCCGCCGCCGCCGTCGTCGTCGTCAGCTAGAGGATTGCGTGTAGCACGTCGCGGTTCAACGTCCTTGCCTCGTTTTTTAAAATTAACGATTTCTGTCGTTTTCTCTCGTTCTGTGCGCTCACTCCCCTTAAACGCGTTTCCGCGGCAGAGGCTGATGCTAAAGAATAGTAGTAGCAGGGAATGCTCTCTCACTATCGTCTGTCTCCACATCCTCTTCTCCCTCCCCCTCTATGCCTCCTTCACCCCGCCCTCCCCCTCTACGCCTCCTTCTCCCTCCCCTCCTTCACCCCGCCCTCCCCCTCCTACGCCTCCTTCTCCCTCCCCTCCTTCACCCCGCCCTCCCCCTCTACCCCGCCTTCTCCCTCACCTTCTTCCCCCTCTCTCTCTCCGGCATACGACGCTCACGTTGCCATGGCGATCGATCTCAGCATGTCCGTCGGTCTGTCCGTCGCGCTAAAAAATAAATTTCAGCGTGGCGTCGCTTCCGAACGCGAGCGTAAAAAATCTACGATCGGGATTGTTGCGAAATAACGCCGGCTGCGGCGGCTCCTCGTTGCCACGGCGGCGGCAGCGGCGGCGGCGGCGACCCTTGGTTGACCCCAGCGCGGCGCCGATATCGGTGAGACAACCACGCTAATCAGCAGGCGCATGCGCAGGCAGCGGCAGTAGTAGCAGCAGCAGCAGCAGCAGCAGCAGCAGCAGTAGCAGCAGCAGCAGCAGTAGCAGCAGCAGTAGCAGCAGTAGCAGTAGCAGCAGCAGCAGTAGCAGCAGCAGTAGCAGCAGCAGCAGCAGCAGCAGTAGCAGTAGTAGCAGTAGCAGCAGTAGCAGCAGCAGCAGCAGCAGTAGCAGTAGCAGCAGCAGCAGTAGCAGCAGCAGTAACAGCAGCAGCAGCAGCAGTAGCAGTAGCAGCAGCAGCAGTAGCAGCAGCAGTAGTAGCAGCAGCAGCAGTAG